GAAGGGACAGCCACATATGTAGGATCATGGAGGTGACATATAAGTGACACTACAAGGAAACATTTCTTACCCATTCAGAGACACGGACGATTTCACGGTTGATCTCATGAGAGATTGCTGATAGTAGATGATCTGGCGAGGAGAAGACACAATGGAGACTTTATGTGATAAACACTGACGACCCCCCGCCCCCCCGTCCTGAATATTTCAGTGATCCTCCGTGATCTGTACATAGTGTTCCCTTCCACAGAGGACATTACACAACTCTGCACATATCAGCAACGACTCTTCTCACCAATCACAGGAGATTACAAACAGATTTATCACCAAATTACATTCGGTTTATCTCTCTCCCGCACAAACACAACATTTCCCGGCACAGGACCCTCAATACGGAAAAATAAACCGGCCCGTTCCCCCCGTTTTATATCTTTACAATGGACATTGTGGGGCGCTCATGGGGGAGGGCGACCAAGCCGCCATTTTATGGCCACGTTTATGAATCTATCTCATTCATTTCCTGACTTTCCATTCTTTGTAGCGGACAATTTCCTCCCCGTACATCCGGTGTGATTGCGTGTTATTATTTTCCTGCATATTGGTGACAATATGAAACAAAAAGGTACAAAAAAGGATAAAAGTTATAATAATAGGAATTTGAATGGATCCACCAGAACTCCCCCGAAGAGCCTCCACAATGTTTTCAGAGCGGAAAGCTCAGGCGGTGGGGTGTGAAGAGTTAACGATGTAGAAGACGGCGTGCAATGTGTGCGTGCGCCCCCCCCCGCCATGTATGCGAGCGTAGAGATATATATAGAGAGAGGAATGAACACTGTTTTCATTCCAGCAAGGTGTAAATCACGCCCGTGTCTATGAGCCGAGACTTTCCAGGAACAGATACTCACTTCACGCCTGAAGAAATCCACCGTCTTCTTCTGCAAGACACAAAGAGAGGAGACAATGACACCGGCACACGCCGAGCTGTTCAACCAAAAACACCGCCAGACCCGGAGAGCCGCCATTGCTACCGGATCACTGAGAGTAGGGACCGCTCAGACATGGCGCCCTACGGTGCGAGATACACACGTGGAAAGGAGTCGCCACTTAGCGCTAGACATGGCAGCTGCGGGAAACATTTTGGTTCGCATATTTCGGGATTCGGATCCAAAACTCAATTCGGTTTCGGATGAGTTTACGTATATTTGTTGCGAATACCACAGATAACCAAATACAGATAATAATACTAAAGCTGAGGCTCCCAGACCCGAATGGCACTCAGGAGCTCCCCAAATGCAATTCGGAAATTTCGGATCCCTAATGCCATTTGGGTCTGGGAGCCATATAAATATATTACTAAAGCTGAGGCTCCCAGACCCGAATGGCACTCAGGAGCTCCCCAAATGCAATTCGGAAATTTCGGATCCCTAATGCCATTTGGGTCTGGGAGCCATATAAATATATTACTAAGAGCTCCTGAGTGCCATTCGGGTCTGGGAGCCATATACACATATCACTAAAGCTGAGGCTCCCAGACCCGAATGGCACTCAGGAGCTCCCCAAATGCACTTCAGAAATTCGGACCCCACATACCATTCGGGTCTGGGAGCCTCAGCTTTAGTAATATGTGTATACGGTTCCCAGACCCGAATGGCACTCAGGAGCTCTCCAAATGCAATTCAGAAATTCGGATCCAGAATGCCATTTGGGTCTGGGAGCCTCAGCTTTGGTATGATATGTATATACTGTACGTGGCTCCCATGTTGCCGTAAGGAAAACTCCAGTTCAGACCCATTCGGAGGCATTAAACCGAAAAACGCATCTGATTGGCCAGAAAAGTCACATGTGCCATTCAGTTTCGTTTTTGAACGAAATTGGGACGGGATCCGAAATTTGGACACATTGGGATTCGGAAAATGCATACAAATGTTGATTCGGAAACAAATGGCACGTGTCTACTTATCAATGATTGCGCAATGCTACACATACATACAGACGATCACTACATGTGTGCCGTGCGCTCACCTGTGTCATGGCTGACCCCGACTCTTATAGATCCTAGCAGCAGGTGAACGACTTGTATGATCCCAATACAAACAATGCAGCCCCCCCCCCCCCTTGTATGTTATATGGTTTATCCCAACCCTGGTCACTTTTGCTGGACAGCTTGGCCTGTTACAGGAAGTGGTAATACACTGGCAGGATCAACAGGAAATGGAAATCCATGGCAGGATATTGACCCTGCATCGGACATTCCCTTGTGGGATCTGGCCCGGAGACATGTAAGAAACGTCAGGTCCATAGTGACGCGCATAACCCGAGCGTCTCCTCCCGGGAAGCGCGGCGCTCTCTCTTGGGGTGGCGGGCGCGTTTTACACGCAGAGCGATAAGCGGTGAAGTAGAATTTGGCGGATGATGAGAGCGCGGCTTCCCGGGGGAGCGAGAGGCCTGAAACATGTAAGAGCACTCGTGTCCCTCTCGTCCTATAATGGCGGCAGAAATAAAAGTCCTTATCATCTGACACCCAGACGCCACCGCCAACACGCCGCCGCCACCGCCGCGCTCCCAACACAAGATCCCCCCAGATAAGAGTTCAAAGCCGAATCTGTGGAGAGAGCAGACAAGAGGAAGGAAACGTTAGAATGATGACAACGCAGAATACTTCACATGACAACATGAGATTTATGTGACCAGAAGAACCAACGCACACAGCGAGAGCCCCCCCGGATGCTGGGGGACTACAAGTCTCAGCATGCCACAACAAGGCTCATCACCCCGTATGATAAGGGGGCAATTTACAGAGATTTCTTATGATCACATTACCAGGCACAAAACATTCAGACCATTCTGATTGGACGTTACAGGTCC